GCTCTTGGCATTCTTTAAAAATACCGAGGCTTCTAAGGATAGATGTAAATATAAGTTATGGATAGAAGTTTTTTAAATAAGTATGTGGGAGGGTTCTATCTGAGAATAAACTATAAACTGGGAAAATAATGCAGAAGACAGAGTGACAGCAGCAATTCAGATTTCTATTACAAGAGGAAATGGACTGAGTTCTGTTAGTGATACACAAAATAAATATGTCCTTATAGTAGGATCTTAGCTAAAAGAAATAGAAATGTATCACAACTAGCACAGTGAAAAGTGGGTTATTGCAAATGAGACACAAAACTTGTGTAAGGGCAAAAGGAAAAAAATAAAGAATAGAAAATTCTATGGTATGGATTCCAAAAGCAAGTGCTTGACAGCCAAATGTTAGAGCTGCAGGAAATACATAGATAGTGATTTCAGGGTTTGCTTTTGTGAGAATTTGCTTTTAGAAATGAACACAGCTGTTTGAGGCATTTTTTATTTAATTTTTTTTTTTAGCTGACTTTACAGTCTACTGCTGGGAACTAACTTAAACCAGTTTGGTCACTGCATTTGTCAGGAATTATTGTCGGGGAGTTTCAACATAGGATGGATGATACCTGTTCATGTAGAGGGATGCTTCTTAAATTTCCCACTTCAAGATATGCTTCAAGGAAAGGAAGTCTTAGAGTGAACTTAGAGTGTACATTTTTCAGATATTGACAAGGAGACACTGTAATTTTGTTGTAATTTCAGGTTTATACTTCTGGGAACTTGAATATCCCTCAGTTGGAAGATTTCTTTGTGCTGTGTTGGCAGTATATTCATGGTGGGGTTCAGGTGACCTCATTTGGATCATATTTATAAAAACAACAATTCTTTCTGCAATATATTTACCACAGGGCTGGTTAAAATTCAAAGTCTAAAAAGTCAAGGATGTAACTAATAGGATACTTTCAACGTTTGAATTTCTCCTATTTTGTTCAAACAGCAATGGAGGTGGGTGTACAATATTGCTATTTCCCTCATCTCTTTAACACTATTTGTGTCATCAATGAAAAATCACATCCAGATCCATGATACTTACAAATCAACCACTTGTGTTGGTGAGAGAATTCAGGTAATTCTGGTTTCAGACTATGTTGCAAAGCTATAATAAAGATGGAATTGGCATTATGATAGAAACATAGATCAGTGAAGTAGAATAGCAACCCTAGAAACAAACTCACAAACATATAGTTAATTTTTGACATAAGAGGTAAAAGGACAGTATCATCAATATAAATGGTGTTGGGAAAGCTAGATAGCCCTGTGAAAAACAGTAAAATTGGAACCTTGTCATACAACGTAACAGTGGATTAAGCACTTAAATGTAAGACTAGAAACTATAAAATCAAAGAAAAGGGAAAATTCCTTAATCTATTTTGGTGATGGTGATTTGAATTTAACTCCAAAAGTAAAGGCAGTAAAAAAAAAAAAAAAAACTAAATGAGTGA